CTGATTGGTGGCAAAGCTTCTAAGACCTCTCATGAAAATTTATGGCATTTTCACAAATAGGTAATAGATTTCTTATATTTCATCCCATACACTCTGCTATTCATCAGCATCTGGCAGTATGCCCAGGATTTAACAAAACGGGTGCTAGTTTCAAGGAGGTAAAGATCAAAGACTTCATTAGAATAGTCACTTCTTTGAGGCCAAGACTGACAATCAACTGCAGTGAGGGCTACTGTACCTCACCAGATAATAGCTCTGACTGCAATCATGGAGCACAGTCTGATCACTGCTGTCAGCACCAGGGATGTACTGAAAGATCAAGTTCTCAGGCTCTGTTAGAAATCGTCAAGTTTTAAACAAACCAGTTTTCATGTCCAGTTTTATACTTTTGGTGTAAAACAACATTAATTATTGCAATTGTTCTAGCACTGTATAACAGACACTGTTCCAAATAAAGAGATTTTAAAAAGCTGGTAAAGAACCTGCACTTTACAATAAAGTCTTTTCTCCTGAAGTAAATTTGCCTGTTCTGTTTTGAAAATGACCATGAAAAGATGGTGACTGAGCTAATAAAATTGCCTAATTTTCCAGTTCAACAGAAAACTTAATTATATTACATAGCCCTAAAGTGGTTGAAAGGAATCCAACCTGCTATGTTTTGAAGAACATCCTCTTTTGTTACCTATGACATACCAGATTGATTCACTTGGTGTTCTTTTTATTTGCTTTAAATACTTTTCCAGTGTATCAGCAAAATGAAATTAATATTCCTGAAAATTATTCACAGAATGGATCAGGTTCGAAGGGACCACAGTGGGTCATCTGGTCCAACCTCCCTGCTCAAGCAGAGTCATTCCAGAGCACATGGCACAGGATTGCCTCTGGACAGTTCTTGAGGATCTCCAGTGAGGGAGAATCCACACTCTCTCTGGACAACCTGTTCCAGTGTGTAGTCACCCATACAATAAAGAAGTTCTTACTTATATTCAGGTGGAAATTCCTGTGCATCAGTTTCTGCCTGTTGCTTCTTGTCCTATTAATTCATAAAATAATGTTCCAAAACCTAGGTCTGCTACTTCATTTCTTCCCAACAATAAAAAGTTTGGTTTGATGTTGAAATCATACCTTCTCTGAATCCTGAACATGACACTCCATTCCTCTGGTCCATGAAGAGCAGCTGACAGAACCAAGAAACTGTTCCGGTGAATGTTTATGAACTTCTGAATTCTCTCAGAAAACTCCTCATCCCCTCTTGTAAGCAAGTCTTGAGTGTCTGACAGTATAAATGCAACACCTATTGAGGAAACCAGTTCAAGTGTACATGTCATGGCAGTATTAGGGTCAAGGTCTCACCATAACTGGGAAGCAGAATTTTGCAACCCTTAGTTTAAAGGGCAATGGAACAAAACACATGAATGAATTTACACATCTCTGACAATGAAATGCAATCATGAGATTTGGCCAGTAATGACTAGTAATTTTAAGACAAAACTACAAATAACTCAGAGGTTATTTTTCTACCATAACATAAAAAAACCACCCAACTGTTCAATTCACTCAAAGCAGACATATCTGAGAGCCTTTGAAAGCAGATGCTTCAGGAACAAGCAACTGCTATAATGGAATGAATTTAGGGCAAGTGCAAAGACTGACTGAAAAGCTCAGCAAGTTCTGTTTCTAAATGAAAGGAACAGTTGTATAATCCTAAAAGTTACCTAAACTACCTACCCTGAAAAATGAAATGATAACCCTGTCATCTAGGTTATTCTGACAGGGAAAGCTAAGAAGGCTGAAGTTTAGGAGCTTAACAATTGAGCATACAAAAGACTAGGCCAATGTGTGCTAGTTCTTATACTTCAGGAAAACTTCAGATAAAGCATCTTGTGTATGTGTCTAAACCACCTTCTGCTCTAAAATGAGAAAACAGATATTTCATGTTTGCAGTTTCAGTGATTTCCTAACCAAACCTGCTCAAATAATCCCTTCCCTACCTCCTGTGCTATGACCAGGTCTGCACATTCAACCTGGGAATTTGAAAGCCAAAGCTCTTGGCTCACTCTTCTGTTTACAGCCATGAATACTAAAGATCTTGATAGCAGCTTACATGGTAGAGGCATTCAGTGTGTTTGCTCAGTTATAACAAGAAACAGTTCAGCTGATGATCACCAAATCTAATGCAGCTGTTCTACAATGTGTCCAAAAAAGGTAAAAACAATGAAAATGTTTCATCCCCAAAATTCTCAGTTTCATCCTCTGATTTACACACAACCATAGCATAGCTCCTTCCACTGCCCAACATTCCAACAAGGCAGATTTCATTCAGTTCAGTGTAGCTCACAACAGGGCCTGACCTTGTACCTCACTGGGGCTTATGATTTAAAAGCATAAACTTCAAAGTACTGTACCAGAAAGAGGAAAAATCACGGCTCCAGTTTCCACTGATTCCGAATATCGAACTCGGTGTTGTTGCCTCTGTAGAAGCGTAGAAATGTCATGATTCTAAAATTTAAAAGATTAGTTTAAAAATGTTTTCAGCCAACATGTTAGAAATATTCTTAAAGCACTGTCTGAACCATTATAGATAGACCTTTAGCATCATTGTTTAAAACGTACTCTTAATTACACCTGTAATAAAAAAAGTACTAAAATGTTAAACATTTTCAATTAAGGAAACTATGAAGTATTTGACTGGAAGTTACAAACACTGACTGACAATTTTGTATGCATACATTCAGTTTGTCTCAGGCAACTTGCATAATGCCTAAAGAAGCTGAAACATTTTACAGCCCATTTTTGTAAGACATGCTAAAAGAAGATTTGCAGCAGGGAGGAACATACAGAAGTGTGTTTCTATGACTCCAGTTAATTAGACTCCATTATTTTCACAGATGTCAGCGTTTCAGTTGGAAAATAGTTCGGAAAATCTGTATGGGACATGATTTTCTTTAAAGCTTTTTGACAGAATACAATCCACTCAGGAAAACTAGAGCACTGCACTCTGCAGCATAATCATCTACAGAACGGAATGGGGTTGGATGTATTTTTCAGCCTGCAAAAAGCATTTCTGCAGGGTCTTCTACAGAAGCTGCTCGAACACACATATTTTAAAGCTTAAATCACTGAATCCTCTTTAGCTAATAATGTGCTCTTTAACCTACCCATTTAAAACACAGCCAACCTGACTATATAGGGAAGTGCCATGATTTAGTGGAAGAGAACAAAATAAAATCCAGGTAGCAAGTGAACCCTGAAGGAGACAGAAACCAGAAATGTCATGCTTTCAATTGGTCTGCAAAGGGCACACTCAGTGGCAACTGCTCATAAGGTATAACTGCAATTTTGGAAAAAATCTCTGCTTCAAAGCCACAGCTGAACTATTTAATGCACAAATAGAAATAACAGCTATAAGAAAATGATAGCTGCATGGGAAAAAGAGAAAACTCATAACCAAAACCGATACAGAAAAGCCATCTTAGATCTGTATTCAGCTATCTCCATACCTTTGCTTATGGGGAACCCTTACTAACAGCAGTGGCCTTGAGTAGAGCTGGGGGGTCATATTAACAGGAGTGAGTTATGCTGGTATAGCTAATGAAATTACTGCCATCCATTACCTCACACCATATTATGGATTACGTTGTCCTTGAAGCAGTTCCCAAACAGGCACAGTTTACAGGCTGTAAATTCCACGATGAGCAGGCAAATAAGCATATACTTTGAACTGAGCTTATTCAGGAATTACTTCAACACCATTCACCCGTTTACACAGCAGAGATGGGGTGATAACCTTGTCAGCCAAGCTAGCAGAAGATATCCTTTCTTGTGAATCAAAGCCCTCTTGCCTCTAAATTCTTGCCAGCTGGCATGAAATTGGCCTCAGCTGCAGAAACTAATTACCAGCTCCTTGACATACCCTTTCACTTTACTTAGGAACACAGTCAAGGCTTCTGATGTTAACAGATAGAAATGTGTATCAATATCTGCAAGACTCACCATTTTAAACTGAATTACACACTTACTGAGTAATTGCCTACCCCAGTGTTGATACTGTATAGCAGAAGAGAAAGTGATTAGGGAGAAATTTGGAAAAACATTTCTGATGGAATTATTTATAGTGCTAATTGGAAGCAGCATCAATGCACTGCAAAATGATGAGTCAGGAGAACAATCCTAAGGCAGTGCAACCAAGAATAGCAGGTGGCAAGAATACTAAATAGATATGGAAGCTGCTAGGAGAAAATACAGACACACACACAAAAGAACCAGTACTCTAGTAGAAGCAGCTGTAGACTAATATCCCTATTTTATCCTCAAAAAATGACATTCATTGGATAAAATGTTTTTGTGTATAGAATATAGGAAATGCTTTTTTCAGCATTTCTTAGTCAGATGCTGGTCCTGACAAGTGTTGCTATACCTGCAGAGTTGAACTCATGATGACTGTTGTGACCCATTTCGTCTGTTCCTGCCCACAACTTTCTGTCATTGTTTTTTCAATGGTTCAGTGGCTCTGCAGGGAGATCTCAGGTGCTGCCTTTGAAAAACCTGGGAAAAGAAAAAATGACCAATATATCCTGCCAATTAAAGAGGTGACGTGTTTACACACCGAAGAGCTAATTAACAACCAGAGGACTACACACTTCTCCAAAATGTATACAGTCACCCACTGCCACAGAAATATTGTGAGATGGCAATTAGAATCATAGAATCAATCAGGTT